AAAAAGAACAACTACTTCTCCCAAAACATTTTCTCATCTTTAAAACTTAAACTAATTATATATTTAAAATATTTTTATAATTCAATTCAGGTCAGACATACTATCAGTAGTTCTCCTAATTACTCTCTCACTTCTATCTCTAGCAAGTTGATAATCATGTCAATCATTCTCACTAGAATCCGCACTCTCATCATGTGATTCATTGTCATTTGAATGCACATGAGAATGTTCCACCTCACTCGAAGTGGTGGTAGTATCATGCTCAAAAGAATCAGAGTCATGCAATTCAGAAGAATTAGAATCATGCAAAACAACATTATCATGATTAGCAAACAAAGGGCTAGCAGCACGTGGTATTGACTCCACCTCAACGGGTATACTACTAGGATCAGGCTCAGAATCAGGAACTGGCTTAACCAGACAAGGAAACTCGGATTCATTGAAAACAACGTTTCTACTTACCACAACTTTGAAACCGACCTGGTTCCTATCCCAAACCCTGTACCCCTTCACACCCTCGGGATAACCTAGGAAGACTCCTTTCTTAGACCTAGGATCCAACTTGTCACCTTGTTGGTGCACATACGCTGCACACCCAAACATTCTAAGATTAGACAAATCAAGGGGTTTGTTTGAAAAAACAGATTCAGGGCACTTCCCACCCAAGGGAACAGAAGGAGACCGATTAATCAAGTAGACAATAGTGTTTACTGCTTCACCCCAAAACTTTTTAAACAAACCGGCGGTAGCAAGCATACTTCTAACCTTATCTAGAACAGTCCTATTCATCCTCTCGGCTATCCCATTTTTTATTGGGGAGTATAGGGCACAGTTTTGTGCCTTCTAATCCCACAATCAACACACAGTTGGTCCATATCCTTATTGCAAAACTCTAGACCATTATCTGTCCTAAGGGTTTTGACCTTCTTACCAGTTTGATTTTCTACAAGTTTTTCCACTCCCTAAACTTCACAAAGACATCGGACTTATGCTCAAGGAGACGGACCCACACCTGCCTAGAAAAATCATCAATGATGGACAGAAAATATCTCTTACCCCCGTGGGTAGAGACACTAGCAGGACCCCACACATCAGCATGAACATACTTTAACACAGAGGTACACTTAGTAGGATTAGGATATGGGGAGGAGGGGAATGTAACCTTATGCTGCTTGCCTAACACACAAGATTCACAAAAGGTGATGGGGGGACACAAAATCCTTACCAAAACAACCAGATTTATGCAAAATCTCTAAACCCCTATTACTCATATGCCCTAATCTATTATGCCACAATGCAGATTTATCAGGACTAACAACATGAGCAGAATCACAGAAAGGCTGAGCATGGCACACATACAAGTTATTCACCTTTTTTGCCTTAAACAAAACAAGGGAATTTTTCAAAACTTTCATGCACCCATTACCCCATTTACCCTCTAACCCACTACCCTAAAAAGCAGCAACAGAAAATAAGTTATGACGCAAATCAGGAACATGCCTCACATTTTTCATAGTAAACACAGTCCCATTATCAAACTTCAAGCATACATCACTCACCCCATGAATTTTGCATTTCTTATAATCAGCAAGAGACACAAAACCATCATTGCAAGAATCATAAGAAGAAAACAGGGATCTAAAAGGTGTCATATGATAAGTACAACCAGAGTCAATCAACCACTCATTTTCAGTCATGCTACTCAACACAGAATTGGCAGAATCACAAATCATAAAAACTTCTTCATGCAAGTTATTATCATCTACCACATTAGCATGTTCGGACTTCTTAGGATGAGGACAATCTTTAATGAAGTGACTAGAATTACCACAATTATAGCACACTCTCTTCTTAGACTTATCTCTCTTCTTCCCCGAGTCATTGTTTTTGTTCTTATCGTTGTTGCCCTTCTTATGGTTTCTAGATCTACTCTTAGACCTACCCCTCACAAACAACGCTTCACCAGAGTCCCTAGACTGACTGTTACTACCCCTCGAATGTCTAAGGTCTAACTCCTTACTCCTTAATCCATTAACGACTATATCTAACGAGATATCGTCTCTACCATACTTTATGGCAGATTTGACGTCATTGTAAGAGTCAGGGATGGCATTAAGTAACACTACGGGTGTGTAGTCATCTATGTGTTTATCACCAGCTTGTTTAATGTTCTGGATAAGCTTGTTAAACACATCTAGGTTCTCATCTATGTCCTTAGACAGGTCAAGCCTAAATCTAAAGAACTTCTCAAGAAAAAACAATTTACCAGGCAAAGAAGTATCGGTATACAACTTATCTAACTTGTCCCACAAATCCTTCGCGGAATCTATAATACCCACCTTCCTGAGCACTGAATCAGAATGGTTCAGGTATATAGAGGAACAAGCAGTTTCATTCATCTCAATGCGCTTTGCAGCATCCTCAGAGTCTAAATAGAGACCAGTCACAGCTCTATAGACTTTCTGTTGGATCAACACGCATTTGATTTTCTGTTTCCAGATATCAAAATTTGTCTTTCCGTTAAATGGAAGCATGCCATATTGATTGACGGCCATATTAACCGGAAAGCAAGCACAACACGCAAGAGAATAAATAAAATTTATCAGGCTATCAACCGGTACGAAGCAACTAGCACGAACAAGCCGAGAAGACCAATGAACACAAAGCTCGGGTACAATCTCCTTGTTCTTTCGTACCGTACGTAGCAACTAGCACGAACAAGCCGAGAAGACCAGTGAACACAAGGCTCGGGTACAATCTCCTTGTTCTTTCGTACAAGCACAGATAAAATCTTTATTTACTCAACAGACAGATAAATGATTAATTATAACATATAGGGTTATCAATTGTACGAAGCAACTAGCACGAACAAGCCGAGAAGACCAATGAACACAAAGTTCGGGTACAATCTCCTTGTTCTTTCGTACAAGCACAAATAGGCTAAAATTAAATCAACAAGCAAAGAAACTGGATTTAAAACTAATCCGGACAGAAATATTCCCAACTTTGGACAACAAGTATCCAAACAAATATTCTTAACCGAAGAGTTTATCCACGAATCAATCAACGAAAAAAAATCAAAATCAAAATCCAACACGCGATTAAATTTAAACGGGAAGAAATATTCACAACTTTGGACAACGAGTATCCAAACAAAATATTCTTCACCCGAAAAAATTAATCACAAACCAACAAGTAATCACAATTCAAACAACCAAGTAATTGCAATTCAACATGAAATTAAAATGAATGAACTACGAATAAAAATCACACAAATGATTAGTAAACGTACCTGGGGCCGGGCACAGCCGGCTTCCAAGACCACGCAGGTCAGTAGCGGGGGAGCGGGGGAAATTAATCCGGTGGCACTCCGGTACACCAAGAAGAGTTAAAGCCAATTTACCTGAGCGGGAAAAGAGGTTGGGTTACCCGACTTACCGTAGGCAGCGTGGGCTGCTGTAGAGCACGACGTGGATGGCGGCAGCGGACTAGAGCAGCGGCAGAACTTCCCTTTCAGCGGCAACGGCAGCGGGTCTGGACCGGACTAGCAGGCTGAAGCTTCTGGACTGCCTGAACTGCTTCAAGCTTCCCCGGACTGCCTGAAGCTTCTAGACAGCGTCTGGACTCCGGCAGAAGGTCTGGACAACTCCGGCGACGGCGGCTGGACGTTCGACGGCGGCAGACGTGCGGCGAAACAGCGGCGGGCGGCGGCTGTCTCTGATACCACTGTAATTTCAATGCAAGTGAAAAATCCAAAATCTTATTTTTATGAACCAAAACTTTAGCTACATGCAAAAACTTGTATCAATGTACTGTAGAAATTCGTCTTTACCCAATTACCAAGTATCTCATTTAAAATAACATGGACTTTTGTTGCCGTATGTAATACGAGAGAATCGAATCTATACATGCACAAGACAATTTTCGTGGAGTTGACGTCAAAGTTAAAAAAAATTGTAACTTTTTAGTTTTCATGCTATATAAATTCAATGTCTGTACTAACAAAATTAACACAATATTGTCCTTGCTCTCTAGCTCTCAAATGCTTCATATACAGTATATACTTAGTTACTTACCATAATTTAGTAGTTCTACAACAATGAAAGCTCCAAGTTGTATTCATGTTTGATTTGCAGTTACTCTCAACGTTCACAACATAAAAATCGATTCAGGTTTTATTTACAGTTCCAATAAAATTTTTCTAGTTTTCTACCTATAAATTGTTTCATTAGCGTGAAAATATGTAGGCAGCTATTTTAATACTCATGTCAGTAAAACTCTAACTATATGTATTCTGTATAGTTCAAAAAAAAAATTATTACTTAACCTCTCGGATCTACAAAGAAAATTTGTTGTATAATACTCCTTATATATTTTTCTCTTCCCCACACAAATTAAATCTCCACTAATATATGGGTTCTCCTAATATATAGCTAGACTAGAAACATTTCATATATATCCAGACATGATTATTCCTTGAATTGTGCAAGTCAAATATGATGAGATGCATGAACTAATACTTCGTTAGAGTTTGAAACGGTGTAAACCTTTAGGAATTTACTTTTTGAAAATGGAAAGCAGACGAGGACCTTTAGTTATAATGATGGACTACTGTATAAGCCCATAAGGTTACTTTTAATTTTACTCTATTAATCTATTATACACCTACGTCCACTTTAGTTATCCTATATTATTGATTTTTATTAGCTAAGTAGGAGTAAAAGAGTTTTGAAATCCCAAAATAGGATTACCATGTTTTTATTCCCTAAATAAGAGTAATTTATGCCAAGTTTGGCTATAACCAAGCTTTAAAAATGAAAGTTTTTGCCAAGTTTTTTCCAAACACTCCTATTTAGGGAATAAAAACATGAAGGTCCTATTTTGGAATTTCAAAATGTTTTTACTCCTTTTTTGGAAGGTCTTAAGTTGTACACATTTTATGTGCACACTCCCTAGTTGTCTAGAAAGGCAGCTAGTTCAGAAGCTGCTTGTGTACAGAAGCACCACCCATAGAGAGACTAAATTGGATATTGACCCTCAATAGTCATTACTCATTAGCTCTTATTAGAAAATCAACCCATGCTTGAAAATTTCATCCAAATTTTACCCTACCCTCTAATGTAAACCGACTTTTACTTTACTAAATGGGTTAGAATGGGCAGCTTAATTATTTACTGGCTGGGGTTGGTGGAATTTGCTTACTACTCCGTATATAGTCTATATTTATGCACATATTTTAAATGTCAAGAGCTGCATTGTTTGCCTGCATTGGAGTGCGTTTGCATGTCACTTTTAATTTCACAACCATTTTATAATCAACAATTTGTTCCTTTATAATCACAACCACTGGTTACAATAATGCGTTTTTAACTTTTAAGCACACTTTTGATTGTGTTGCTCATCAAATCCTCATCATCTTATTTTAATTAACAGAGATACTCCCTAATTGGACAAAGATGATGATGCTTGGGTATGTGGGTAACGAGCTGCCAGCCCTCTTAGACCATGCTTTCCCCCAGGGCATTTCTGTTTTACTTCACTTCCTTTTCTTACTCTCTGTTTTTACTATTTGGACGTTCAAGCAATTCATCAACACTAACAGCAGCAGAAAAGAAAAGGGTCATACAAAAGAAAGATTTTTGTGCTACAGGCTAATCATCTTCTCTTGTTTGGCTTTCTCACTTTTTAATCTTGTCCTTTGCATTTTGAGTCAGTTTTACTGGTACCCAAGTTGTTGGTCTGAAGAAAAGATTTTAACTTTTTCGGATTTCTTAATAAGAGTTGTTTCTTGGTCAGTAATCTCAATCATCTTGCACACCCAGTTCTTGAGTTCAGCTGAAAAGAGTTACAGTCCAATTCTAAGAGCCTGGTGGGGGTCCTTTTTAGCACTGTCTTGTTATTGTTTGGCAGTAGACATTTTTTATCAAAAAAAGAACAGAACTTTAGCTGCACAGTTTTGGATTTCTGATGTAATATCCACTGTCATGGGGTTTCTCTTCTGTTCTGTGGGATTTTGGAGAAACAGAGAGGATGAAGGTGACCCTCTTATTAAGGAACCTCTATTGAATACTAGTGGTAGTGCTTCCATTAATGGTGGAGGACAGAAATTACCATTACCTTCAGGTTATGAAAATGTTACTCCTTACATCAATGCTAGAATTCTGAGTACTATTACTTATTCATGGTTGAATCCTCTTGTTTCTCTTGTCAAGAAGAGACCATTAAGCTTTAAGGATATTCCTCAAGTTGCTGGTTTTGATAGTATCAGAAACATTTTTCCAATTTTTCGAAAACGACTAGTGGAATTTTGGAGTGAGGGTGGTAGCAAATTGACTACATATATTCTGGCGAAGGCTTTGTTTATCACAGTTTGGAAGGATGTTGTGTTATCTGCTGTATATTTACTCTTTTGCAAATTGCCCTCTTACGTTGGAGCCTACCTCATAGATGACTTGGTTCAATTCCTCAACGAAAGACGAGAGCATAAAAATGAAGGTTACCTATTAGTCACAGCATTCTTCATAGCAAAGGTTGTTGAGGCCTTGGCAGAAACACAATATTACTTCAAAGTGAGGCAGGCCGGGTTTAGACTACGGGCTGCACTGGTTGCGAAAGTCTACAGCAAGGGCTTGAGGCTGTCATGCCTGTCTAAGCAGAGCCACACAAGTGGAGAGCTCATCAATGTTATGAGTGTAGATGCTGAGAGGATTACCCAAGCCTGTGAGTACATCCATGACCCGTGGATTATACTTGTACAAGTTGCTCTGGCATTGGTTATTCTCAACAAAAATCTCGGGGGTGTTGCTACAATTGTAGCACTAGTTTCTACTATTGGAGTGATGCTAACAAACATACCTTTCAGGAAAGTGCTAGAAAGATACCAAGAAAGGCTTATGAAATGTAAAGATAATCGCATGAAGGACACATCAGAAGTTTTAAGAAACATGAGGATTCTTAAACTTCATGCCTGGGAGATGAAGTTTCTGTCCAGAATCCTTGAGCTCAGGAATATTGAGGCAAGGTGGTTAAGAAGATATCAATATGTCTCAGCTTTGACTGCTCTCGTCTTTTGGGTGGCCCCTACCTTTGTGTCTGTAGCTACTTTTTCTGCAGCTGTTCTTATGGGAAACCGACTTGAGTCAGGAAAAGTACTATCGTCTCTTGCTACTTTTACAATACTAAGGGAACCTATATACAGAATTCCAGATACAATTTCAAAGATTGCCCAATTCAGAGTTTCCCTTGATCGAATTGCATCATTCCTTTCGCTTGACGACCTCCAGCCTAATTCTACAGAGAGGCTCCCAAGATGTAGTTCTGATGTTGCCATTGAAATTACCGAAGGGAGTTTCAGCTGGAACGAATCTTCTTCTTCTCCATTTCTGAAAGACATAAATTTAAGAGTCAATCATGGCATGAAAGTTGCCATTTGTGGTACTGTAGCTTCAGGAAAGTCAAGTTTATTATCTTCCATTTTAGGAGATATGCCTAAATCTTGTGGCAGTGTTAAGCTTTGTGGTACTATGGCCTATGTTTCTCAGCTCCCGTGGATACAAAGTGGTACAATAGAAGAAAATATATTGTTCGGTAAGAAGATGGACACTGAAAGATACAATAGAGTTCTAGATGCATGTGCTCTAAAGAAAGACTTGGAAGTCCTTCCTTTTGGTGATCAAACCGTCATAGGCGAGAGAGGCATCAATTTGAGTGGTGGTCAGAAGCAAAGAGTTCAAATTGCACGTGCTTTATACCAAGATGCTGACATTTATCTCTTTGATGATCCATTTAGTGCAGTGGATGTTCATACCGGAACCCATCTCTTCAAAGTGAGTGAAAAAGCTTATCATCATGCATGTTCTATATTCCTCTAATTGGTTTCTTTTGTTATTTCGATTTTCTTTTTATTGCTCCTCAACTCCTGCCATTCCAGAAATGAGTTATTAAAATAATTTTTTGTTCACATACAGGAATGCATACTTGGACTTCTGGATAAGAAAACAATTGTGTATGTTACCCACCAAGTAGAGTTCCTACCTGATGCAGATTTCATATTGGTATGCTATATGTGTATCATGTTATATTGCCTCTTCTTTCATATTATGAGTATCAAGGTTTTGATCTAAATAAATCAGGTTATGAAAGGCGGAAGGATCTCACAGGCTGGAAACTATAATAGCATCCTCAAGGAATCATTATCAACAACAAAAGACTCATTCGAAGAAAGAGTACTAACAATGAGAAAGGGAAGTGGTGGGTTATTGACCATTGGGGATACTATACAAGATGAAGATGTTGTAGAACATAAAAAAGATCATGTTCATACCACGACCAAGCCAACAGGGCAACTTGTCCAAGATGAAGAAATAAAGAAAGGTAGCATTGGTTTCTCAATTTACTGGATATATATGACTATGGCCTATGGGGGCTCTCTTGTTCCCTTCATATGTTTGGCACACATACTTTTTCAAGCACTTCAAGTTGGAAGCAATTATTGGATGACTTGGGCTACTCCAGTATCAGACAGTGATACAGCTCCAGTTGGAAGCTCTACTCTCATCGGTGTTTATGTTGCTTTTGCAATTGCAAGTTCATTCTTCGTCCTTGGTAGATATTTGCTACAAGTGATTGCCGGGTTAAAAACAGCCACACTTCTTTTCCAAAAGATGCATTTGTGCATTTTTCGGGCTCCAATGTCTTTTTTTGATGCTACACCTAGTGGGCGTATTCTGAATAGAGTAAGTGAACATTGACATTTTCTTTTTGTTCTTTTTCTTCTTCTTTCTTCAGTGGACGATGAGCATATAATAATTCTTGTGTTCAATTTGTTCATAATTATCATATTCTTAAAATATTGCTTAACTGATTGTTGTATTTTCATAACAGGCATCTACAGACCAGAGTGCAGTGGATCTTGACATTGCCTTTCAAATGGGGTCTATTCTCATCTCAATAACTAAGCTTTTAAGTGTCATTATTGTGATGTCTCTATTAGCATGGCAAGTCTTCGCATTTTTTATCCCTGTGATCGTGATATGCATCTATTTTGAGGTGCACGGTGGAGCATCTAGTCTCCTTTCTTTGTCTACTTGATATTTATGTTTATTCATATTACTTCAACTACCTCTATATCAATCCTCCTCGATTTCATTATTCATTAATTTTTTACATTAGCTTTTGAAAAACACTATTTATGTTGAAGCATATGATCACATACTCGAGATTTCTTAATCGCAGCGAAATTATTTACCTTTGGCACGAGAATTAGCACGGTTAGCTGGAGTTTCAAAGGCCCCAGTCATACAACATTTTGCTGAAACTCTCTCTGGATCAACTACCATCAGAGGTTTTGATCAGGAATCTAGATTTATTGATACAAGCATGCAACTAATAGATGATCATTCCCGGCCCAAGTTTCACGGTTTTGCTGCTATGCAATGGATATCCTTTCGGTTAAATGTGTTGTCCCTAATAACATTCACATTTTCTCTGATTTTCTTAATCACAATTCCAGTGGGAACTATTGATGCAAGTAAGTGAGTGAGTTGTTTTAACATAATATAATAACATTATCAGGAAGAATGTTTCAAAGTTAAGGCGTAAAGCATATCCTATGTCTAACAATAATTTAGTGTCATCCAACAACTTGTAGGTTTTGCAGTATTAGCAGTGACATATGGGCTCACTTTGAACTCACAACTAGTTTGGCTTGCTGGAAATGTTTTTAAGTTGGAGACCAGTATTGTCTCAGTTGAAAGAATGATCCAGTACACTTGTATCTCTAATGAGCCCCCTCTTGTCACTGAAACAAACACGCTGAGAAGTCATTGGCCGCTACATGGTAATATTGATATCTGCAATCTAAAGGTAATTAAATTTTACAGTTTTCATTGTAATGTATGGGTACCTCTTAGTGTTCTGTATGTAGGACCGGATAGAGAAGCCCAGAAAGTAGTGGATATCTGATCACTCTTAAATTCGAGCGCTTCATGAGTCGTAGTTGGATCGATTGCTTATTTGAACTTGATTAACTCTCAAACCATATTAATACCTTTTATGTCAGTTTGGATATGATCTTTATATTTGAATGATGTGGGGTAGCTTAATAGTCTAATTGTCATTCCATATGTGATGCTTTATAATGTTAATCAATATGGGGCTGGTTCAATAGGTACAGTATGCTCCTCAACTGCCTCTTGTCTTACAAGGCATAACATGCACTTTATTTGGAGGAAAGAAAACTGGAGTAGTTGGGAGGACTGGCAGTGGCAAATCAACACTTATACAGACCATCTTTCGCATAGTTGAGCCAACTGAGGGTACAATTCTTATAGATGGTACCGACATATCATCTATTGGATTGCACGATTTGCGAGCTAGGTTGAGTATAATTCCACAAGATCCAACCATGTTCGAGGGGACTATTCGCGGAAATATAGATCCACTTGAAGAATATACAGATGAACAAATTTGGGAGGTAGCCAACATGAGTTCCTTGTGTTTATTACCCCTTTACTTTTTCTAACATCCCAAAACAAGGTTCATCTTTTTAAAAGATAGAATTATCAGGTTCATATTATCTTTCTACTCTTCAAAAATCCGAAACATATATCACTTTTCTTAATAAGATTGTTCATCCATGGGGTAGTCATGAGAAATGCCATGTTGATCGGATATAAATAAAATTTTCACATAAAGAACTTTATATATGAAACAAAAGGTTTTTTCAAACTTTGGGTGTGCCGGGCACACGGTACCCAAGTATGATATACCAAAAGGGGACCTTAATATGTGACAAAGTGAGTAGCTTGAAAATTTCTGATTTTTTGTATTGTTTCTCTTATCAAGGCTCTAGATAAATGTCAGCTGGGAGATGAAGTTCGTAAAAAGGATGCCCGGCTTGATTCTACAGGTTTTCCTCTTCAAATAGCTCAATGGGAGTGTGTATTTTTTGTTGGAAAAATGTGTGAAAAATTGCATTAAATGGCTATTTTGGGGCAATTTTTTGAGTGGGGTCCACTTCCGATTTGGGTCGGGTTAAAGTGGTTTCGGATTGTCCTTGTTCAGGGCTACAATTCGATATATGGTACGCTCAAAACGGATAACGGGTGAATGAGAAATCGCTTTTCGAAGTTTACCCGTTAGAATGGAAAAACTGGGAAAAAGGATGGGTTTCTAGTGTTAATTTCCCACACCGGAAAACCCAAGGGATTTGCTACCCTTTATAAAGGGACTCCCCCCTTATGGAGTTAAGATTCTTAAGGGTAAAGGCTCTCTCCACGCGAGTAGGGGGTGCAAATCAAATCCCGAATTTGGAGAAGAAAAACCGCGACTTGTGTGCGCGGGCGACTTGCGGACACGAATGTCGTCCAAAAATCTATCTCTCAAGAGATACGATTAATTTTTGTTTTCTTCCCGAAACGTTTAATTTTTTCCCAGCGGCAGAAGTGCTCGGACAGAAGCCTACGGATCAGAACACCTCGTTGGTGTTCTGATGGCAGAACCCCTCACGGGGTATTCTGATGGCCGCCCATCAGAGATGGGGTATTCTGATGGCCGCCCGGATCAGAACACCTCGTTGGTGTTCTGATGGCAGAACCCCTCATGGGGTATTCTGATGGCCGCCCATCAGAGATGGGGTATTCTGATGGCCGCCCATCAGAGATGGGGGTACTCTGATGGCCGCGGATCAGAGTTGGGGTCTTCTGATTGGCCTCCGATCAGAACCCCTCCCGGGGAGTTCTGATGGAGGACTTCTGTCGCGCTTCTGAAACGTTACTACAATTAATGCCCAACGTTTATATCTTTTAATGCAGCGTTAAATGGACAGTTCATGGACGATTCAATGCCCAATGGACTGGTCATTGATGTCCAACGTTCAGGTCCATTAATTCACCATTTACACACAACAAATCCTCCTATATAAGGGCTGGCAGGTGGTTTGCAACAACACATGTTCTTACACGTTCTTACACAAATCCATACACGTTTTAGCTCTAGAAACACACTGCTAGCATTCCGAAAATTTCCCCTGTGTTCATACTGTGTTCTCGTTCGCTGGAACTTTTGTTTGTGTGCTCAAACATTAGTTCGTAGTCATCGTATCCTGGGAAACGATTGTTGCAACGCTCCTAGCACCGTGGGAGGCAACAAATACGTTTTAAGGACATCGTGCGTAGCACGAGCTTTGACTAATTCTGCTTCATCTCCTTTCTTGTTTTTCTCTAGTCATTTTATTTAATTAATTTATTTTAATTAATTTTCTTTATTTTCCGAAACACACCCAACATTTTTCACTTTGTTAGGTCTATCTTTTTTGGCATAAAAAAGATAGGGCAACATTGTTTATTTCATGAGAGAATTGCATTGGATCATCTCACCATTTTTTTAAAAACCCTCACCTTCAATATTCTTTTTAGTAATATATAAAATAATAAAGTTAGGTGTGTTGTAGATGCACATTGGGTAAACTTTTTCATTAATCAAGAACTAACATAGATGAATTGAACTTTGTTTTTCTTAACTAGTAAGTGAGAATGGTGAAAATTGGAGTGTGGGTCAGAGACAACTAGTTTGTCTTGGGCGGGTGCTGCTAAAGAAGAGCAAGATTCTGGTACTGGACGAGGCTACAGCATCGGTTGATACCACAACTGACAATCTCATTCAGCAAACTCTCAGGAAAAATTTCTCTGATTCCACCGTTATTACGATTGCTCATAGGATAACTTCTGTTCTTGATAGTGACATGGTGCTGCTCTTAAGCAATGGTCAGTGGTACTATGTGTCCTACTTGAATGAATATTTCACTCTGATGAAATCAACACAAAATTCACTGCATTTTCTCTGTTTTGCAGGTCTGGTTGCTGAATATGACACTCCAGCTAATTTGTTGGATAGCAAGTCTTCTTTATTCTCCAAGCTTGTTGATGAGTATACCATGAGATCATGTTCTAGTTTGGAAAACTTGGGCCATTAGAGGCTTGATCATTTTCTTGGATGCTATGATGCAAACAGACTCTTGGGGAGGTCCTCATGTGTTTCAAGACATCTATAGAATCTATTCGAAAAACTCCGAACACTATTTTTGTTAAAGTTGTTCCCTATGAATCACGGATACTTCCCTAGGATAGCGTATCGGCGTACCGGATACGTTCTCGTATCCGATACTCTAGGATACCCGTACCGTACGTTCCCGGGCCGTATCTGCAATTTTTAAAAGTTTCCATTTTTTTTTGTAATTTTTTGAAAGTTTCCGATACTCGTATCCTGACGGATACCCGTATCAACCATTTTTTTTTAAAAAAAAAATCCCAAAATTTACTTAATAAAATTCTAAAAAAAAATGAAAATCTAAAACTACATTTTACTTGGTAATCAAATAATGGGCCTATATGGCTATATCCGAATTAAGTCATTAACTCATACTCTGAAGTGGGTACTTGCACTTTTAATTTCAAGATTGTAGTTGTTTGACTTATTTCTCATTTTAAATTAATGACTCATTGACTACATTTATATTTCGAGATACACTGGTGTATATGAGGAATATTATGAATTTATTACTAATTATCTTGAAAAATGAAAATGCTTCAATGCAATGAATGGGTAGACATCATAGGATATTATATGTGTGTGTATATATATACACATATATATATATATATTCAAAAAAAAATTTAATATTTATAAATAGACCCCTATAACTTTTAATATTTGTAAATACACCCCCATAACTTTTAATATTTATAAATATGGCCCCGTATCCGTATCCTACTTTTTTTGGTTTTGACGTATCCCCGTACCCGTTTCCGCGTTTCCGCGTTTCCGCGTACCGGTATCGGTGCTACATAGGTTGTTCCCCGTTTTGCATTCCCCGATGTTTTCCACATTTTTGTGCTATCAAGGTTGGGTGTTTGAAGCGGAGTTTATTTAGAATAGAAACGTTTCTCAGACTTTATGTATCAAAGTATGCACATGGAAAGTAAATAATAATCATGTAGATACCACTAATGTACTTTGTCTCATTTTTCCTTTTGTGTTCGTCTTATTGTGTTTGTCTCATATTATATTTGGTTATATTTGTTTGTTACTGATATTTTAATAATTTAATATTAATCATGCAATCCTAACTTTCTTAATAATCACACAACTCTCTCTCATTTCAATCTTGGGGGACAAAGATAGTATCAAGATCCAAGCTTTGAACTTGCTATATATGAATTGAAGTACCTAGTATCTTTTAGGCGAAATTGACACAAATATTTTCTACTTTCACGCGGATAACAAAAGTAATTAGTAGTGGAAAAGTTGATCACAATAATCTAAATCAGTTAACTGCTTCACAAAACTCATTGAGGAGCAACGTGGTAATACAATTAATCCCTACTTTTACGCATTAAAAGTCATTCTTCTATGCACCTTGTTGCAAATATTGTCCTTCAACTTTGCAACGTGTTATAAATATAGTCTCTGCCGTTAATAATGTAGAAACCAAGCTTGTTAAGTTATTAACATTTGGCACTTCAGTGATAACATGTTACACATTTAAAGATTCACATTTCCAAAAATATTACAACTCAAGAAAAGACTACACAATAAATGATTGACCCAAAGTAAAATTCCCTCTATTAACAACTCAAGAAAAGACCCAACACCTAAATTTAACAAATGAATTCAAACTACTACCAAATCATAGTGAAAGTTGAAGTGTAAGATAATACGGAGTATAACCGGAAATACTGATGTTCTTAAGAGGTTTATCTAGCTGTTTGCTACTTTTAGGATTTGGGTTCAGATCATATATAGGTTCTAGCTGGCCCTTCTAGCTAGCTAGCTGGTTTTCATCCTAATCAAGCAGCAGACGGACACTCTCAACCATCTTGACAACATCCGGCATTTTCGGCCTTTGGTCGGGCACCCTAACAACACATGACAGTGCTATCTGCAACATCTCAACCATTTCCTCCTCTATGTTCGGGAACTTTAGGAGCTCCATGTCGAATACTTCGCCTGTCCATTGTTCCCGAACAACGGAGTGGACCCATCGTACTAGGTGTATGACCTCGTCATCGCCACTAGCTGTCGTGTGGACCACGGGGGACTTTCCTGTGAGGAGTTCAAGAAGCAACACACCAAAGCTGAAGACATCAGAAGGCTGTGTTGCCTTTCTGGTGTCCATAACCACTTCTGGGGCCCGATACCCCGCCACACGCGCAAGGGAAGGAGATAAGGATCCCATTATCCTCGACAGGCCCGTGTCCGAAACACAACCGTACCGATTCGGGTTCAGAAAGACGTTTGAGGATTTCAGGTTGCCATGAGCTAGCTTCCCCCCATTGGCTGCATGGATTTGTGCAATCCCTCTTGCTGATCCCACGGCTATCTTCACTCTTGTTACCCAATCCAACGGTGTCGTTGGGCTTTCTCCCATGTTTCCTGCATCCATTTTGAGATCATACATGAGCATTGATCATGGATAGCTTTGTAATAAGGAAGATCAGAGATCGGCTCGAGCTGAGCCTCCGAGAATTAGATGTCTGTTTTATCATCATTATAGGTATTTGGATTCAGTTTTAAAGGGAACACAACCGAAACAATTGAAAAGCAGTTTTTGTCTGGTAACGCTTTTTCCCCCACTGTATTGAATTGAATTGAAAACTGAAACGTTCATACTTAGCCAACATGGGACAGTATATTTAACAAATAGTTCCAATGAAAATTTATAGTAACAATAATAAATAGAAATGGGAAGAAGAGCATACCATGCAGCATAGCAGCAATGCTACCTTGGGGAAAATAGTCACAGACAATGAGCTTCTCATCTTTGGAATAGTAATATGCTCTTAGCTCAACCACATTCTCATGTTTTATACTCCCAACAAGCTCCATCTGATGTTGAAATTCCTTTATCCCGACCTCGACTTCTTTCAATCTCTTTACCACCACAGTCGTCCCCTCCTCCAACGTCGCCTTGTAAGCCATACCAAACGTTCCCTTCCCCAGCACCTCCGCTGAAGCTCTAAAAAGGTCTTCTAAATCGTACGCATAGTTACAACCCTCAAAGAAAACCAGGCTGTTATTTGCTTCTTTTCCACGCGACAAAATTGACTTCTCGTCTCTCCCCCGCCCACATTGACCCTTCTCGTATTTCTTCATGATGAAGTGGATTTCCCTGCTCTCACTTTTCCTTCTTATACAGCACACAATCAACACAAGACTGAATCCAAGAATCGCCACCACACTCACTGCAACTCCACTTCCAAGCAAAGCCTTCTCAGTCAATTTCCTAACAACATTGTGCTGGGATTTATTAAGGGCTGTTTGGTAAGGAGGTATTGAAGGGGAATAAGAAACAGTGGAGAAGTTAAAGTATGAAACATTATAGTTTCCAGCAAACACACTTTCAGGAAACCTTTGAAGTGACTTAGGGACAGATCCAGTGAGATGGTTGTAAGACAAATTCAAGAGCTGCAACATTGGCAAATGGAAATCAGGAATTTCCCCTGAGATTGAATTGTTAGCTAAGTTTAAAGAAGTAAGACGACTCAAACTCGAAACCGAATACGGTAAACTGCCATTAAACCCATTGTTGGACAAGTCCACAGCAGTGAGGTTTTTCCAAACAGAAAAGTCAAATGGTAAAGGACCAGAGAAATTGTTGTGCTGCAAATAAAGATAAGACAAGTTCTTCATGCTAGTGAAGTCAAGAGGGAAACCACCGGAGATACCATTGGATCTCAGGCTCAAGGTCTGCAATGCCGACAAGCGGTTGAGAGTGTTGTTCGGTATCGGTCCTTGAAGCCCAACCCCGGGCAGCCTCAACCCTGTGACTCTTGACCCATCTCCATTGCAGCTCACTCCAGTCCAGTTCTTGCAGACTGGGAGATTCTCATCCCAGTTTAGAATTCTCGAGTGTGGGAGCTTTTCCAGAAACTCCAGCAATGCATGCTTATCATTTTCAATAGTAGAACTTCCTTGTGACAAGAAATAACCCCACCATAACAGAGCAAATAAGCAAAAAGAATTCAGCCCCTCCATTTTTTCTGAGCTAAAAACTAAAAAGAATCTATAGTTCAAACTCTTGAACACAAAATATGTAGATATTGAAGGTGCAAAGGAAAGAAGAAGCTAAGGGATGCTTAGAGCAACAAAACAGCTAACAGGACATCCTTATATAGGTGCATGTCAAGAAAAAGAAAGGCATTCCAAGGTTCTAGGAGGTTTATGATGTTAGTATAGTCTCACATGAATTACTTGAATTCAAATTTAGTATCATTTATACTAAATGTCTTATGCTCAGTTGAGTCATCCTCATTAAGCTTTGAATTCTATCATATGAAAAAGAAGTAAAGGAGATTAGTTTAATTTAAAGTGATGAATCGGAGATCACAAGGTTTTTGAATTGATGGAATTTTTTGTTCAAATTAAAGGAGGGAACTTTGTGTCTCAAAGGCTGGAACTGGAGAAGCTTTTCTTTCTGTTCTTGGCTCTTTTGCTTTTCCTTTATTTTTCGATTTTTGAACTGCTTTTTCTACCATGAGTGCAGAATTTAATCCAACGGATCTAGCTTTAGAACGAGAGGAAAACGATATAGTTTTGACAATTAAATCCCATATGTTTATCATTTTTATCGTAAGTTTCTCACTTCTTGTCCTCCAAAATATACCTCCTTAAATAAGTGGGACATTCTAAATTTTATACTATTCACATGTTCTACTTTGACTACATTTTATTTATTGATGTATTAATATATATTTTTTTGAAAAAACTATTACTAAATTTGTGTCTCGGCAAATGTGAGTTATAAATATTAATGGGCAAATGTGAGTTATAAATATTTTATTTATTGATGTAAATTTTCAAAATCTAACTTTTTAAATTTTTTACTAATAGAGAGTTATAAATATTAATGGTCAAAGTTGTGTCTCAGCAAATGTGAAATATTGACCGTTGCACTTATTTAAGAACAGAGGAAGTAATTGTTTCCTTTTTAGATGTTGTTTACCTATCCTACTTTTATCATATCTTATCTTATCTTTCTTAGGATGTTTTCTTTTGGACTGTTTTCAGTCCCAGACCAGACCAGACCAGACTTAAACAGACCAGACCAGACCAGACCAGACTTAAACAGACCAGACCAGACCAGACCAGACTTAAACAGACCAGACCAGACCAGACCAGACTTCCGTAGTTATAAAATACACAGAGACCAGACGTTTACCAGACCAGACCAGACCAGTTCAGACCAGACCAGACCAGACCAGACTTAAACAGACCAGACTTAAACAAACCAGACCAGACCAGACCAGCAAATTTCAGTCCAAAAGAAAACATCCTTATACTCCCTCCGTCCCGGAAACATGTTTCCTTTTTAGATGTCGTTTACCTATCCTACTTTTATCATATCTTATCTTATCTTTCTTATACTCCCTCCGTCCCGGAAACAAGTTCCCGGGTTGACTTTCACACATTTTAAGGAAATAAAGATACTGAGGGGTAAATTTTACTGTTTGGCACTATTTCGACACTGTTTAGCACCGTTTCAACACTGTTTGGCACTGTTTTGCACTGTTTGGCACTGTTTTGATGTAGGATAACTTTCCATTTAGGGGAATGAGAAGTTTATTTTGGGACATCCAAATAAGGAAAGTGAGAACTTGTCTCCGGGACGGAGGTAGTATAATACTTCGTATAAAGTA